CTGAAGAGGTCTTTAGAAAAACTAAATTACTTTTCATTTTTATTGTGCGATTTGTTTGAGTGTTTCCTAAATAATGATTTATTTGGTGTAATAAATAATTGTTTGTTTCAATCATTTTACGTTAAAAATGCCACAAATCTATAGCAAAGACTCTTTCGATAGATTTGGTGACGATTTGTGCGAAGAGTTGTTGTCTTTCCTCACATTTGAAGACCGATTCCGTTGTGAATGTCTATCAAAACAGTGGCGAAGACTCGTATATATGAGACAAACAGAAATGGGATTGCATTGCAGTGAATATGAGAAATGGTCTGAATTATCAACATTTGAATTAATACTGAAAAAGTGTCAAAATATCACACATTTCCAAAAATACATCGGCGAACCGGAAATAAATATGAAGGCTATAACTGATCCATATCTGGCATTAATTATAAAACATTGCCATAAATTGCAATCATTTTACATGATTTTGAATGAAATTAGTGTTCATATGATTTATATATTTTTCGAAAAGTTTGCCAAACAATTGAAATCAATTGAATTTTCTGCAACCAGTGATCAGTCAATACAGACATCACTCGTGAAGAATAAGAAAAGGTGTGAGAATTTACTTCAATTTAACACCGATTATACTTTCATAAGTGTTTATCACATAATAAGTGATAAAAATNATCATATTATTTAGTTTAAGGCAACGAATATTTTGTGGCAAATAATCAATCATAAAAGTATCGCAATAATAATAACCAATCAATTCATGGATTGTGTCGGAAGTGCTCTCCAGAGGAAGACTGCGTTGAGTATTGGATTCAATGGCAAAGACTGTAAAGAAGATTACCATTCATTCAGAGACGGAGACATCAGTGAAGCCATTGTCTGGAAATCTCACAATAAAAACGATTTGATTACTCGCAGACACACATTGAGTTCAATACTCGGGAAGTGTTTGAATATAAAGTCTTTGTATTTAAGAAACGTTTCAATCGATGGACAGATAATATCACTGATTGTGAGCCGATGTCCACAACTGAAGAGATTGTATTTGAATGACATTCACACCATTCAACTAATGAATGGATAGCAGCCTTTATTGACTCAATTGTCTCATTTGTCTCTCAATAACTACATTAACCACAATATGCGACAACTGTTGCCGTCGTTATCATCACTTGAATCCATTGAATTGAATGGTTATTATTATTGCGATACTTTTATGATTGATTATTTGCCACAAAATATTCGTTGCCTTAAACTAAATAATATGATTAAAGACAAGCGAGCAGTGGATGTACTGATGAAGAGATGTCCGCATTTGGAAGTGCTTTCCATCGATAAAGACTGTATGCATAACTGGAATGACGCGTTTCCTAAGATTTGCACTCATTTTAAACTCAAGAGTTTTGACTTTAATGTCCGAAACTTGTCGATCGATGTCTTCGCCGAAAACATCCCAAAACTTAATGAATTGAAACATTTATCGGTTTCAATAGTTTCTGGCAATGATTTCAACACAACTTTCATACAATCGATGCCTAAACTCAAAACATTGTCTTTAAAATACTATAGAAATATCGATGAATTGATTGCTTTTGTATTGCATTGCAATGACAACAGGGTTTCGGCGAAGTGTTTCAAACTTATATTGCATCCAAATATTGTGGACTCACTTATCAATCGTTTAAATGATATGAAAGTATCGATTCCTAAGTATCTGATCATTAAATCTAATTAATGTTTGATTATTTGAAATCCAAGTCAATAAAAAATATCAATAAATATTATTTTAATAATAATATTAACTATTAATTAAAAGATAGCATTATTTTTCATCATTTTTTTCAAGCAATACTGTATTTGCAAATATTTTTAGCTAAACTAAAAAATAATTTGTGTATTTGTATTGATATTAAAACATAATAAAAGTCTTTGTTATTCACTGGAAATTATTATTTATAAAGTTATACCAAAATTCTTTGCGTTAATTTTTGGATTTACAAACATTTTAAATTAATTATCAAGATAATAATTTATTTATTTGTGGATAGTACCAACGACTGGGCGCATCATTACTTAATCTTATTTAAGATCATGATAGATTATCACTTAATCCAAAACATCTTTATTTGGCGCTTAATGTCATGTTTTATTTAAACTTATGCTAAAGTATAAGAATCTGAGATACAGTGGATTGAGCTCTAGATTTATTATTTGATAAAAACATAATCCTTTTGTTTTTCACATATTTTTGCTCAAAAGTACGATATTTTGGAGACAAAAGTGAGTCGATGTCCACAGAGAGGAACAGGTCTACAGAAAAGTTAAATAATTTTATGAATAATTGTTTCATTTTTATCGTGCGATCCATTTGATTGAGTTGTGATTTTATTGTTGTATTTATTAATTGTTTGTTTCAATCATTTTGTGTGAAAAATGCCACAAATATATAGCAAATCATCTTTCGATAGATTTGGTGACGATTTGTGCGAAGAGTTGTTGTCTTTCCTCACATTTGAAGACCGATTCCGTTGTGAATGTCTATCAAAACAGTGGCGAAGACTCGTATATATGAGACAAACAGAAATGGGATTGCATTGCAGTGAATATGAGAAATGGTCTGAATTATCAACATTTGAATTAATACTGAAAAAGTGTCAAAATATCACACATTTCCAAAAATACATCGGCGAACCGGAAATAAATATGAAGGCTATAACTGATCCATATCTGGCATTAATTATAAAACATTGCCATAAATTGCAATCATTTTACATGATTTTGAATGAAATTAGTGTTCATATGATTTATATATTTTTCGAAAAGTTTGCCAAACAATTGAAATCAATTGAATTTTCTGCAACCAGTGATCAGTCAATACAGACATCACTCGTGAAGAATAAGAAAAGGTGTGAGAATTTACTTCAATTTAACACCGATTATACTTTCATAAGTGTTTATCACATAATAAGTGATAAAAATGAAGTTTACTATAAATATATGGTTAACTTTAATATCTATTATAGACCCGAAGACACGACAAAATTTGATTGTGCGAAGAGTTGTTGTCTTTCCTCACATTTGAAGACCGATTCCGTTGTGAATGTCTATCAAAACAGTGGCGAAGACTCGTATATAACAGACAATTGACTTTAATTAATAGCCGAAACTTGTATAATGTATTATCGATTAATTTTTCTCAAATACTTACAAAGTGTGCAAACATTACACATGTTTTCAATGATGATTACAACAGAAGAATGACTTTAATGAACTCATTCATTGATTTGCTTACAAAACAATGCAATCATTTGACAGATATTTCGCTCGATGTGTCCGACAATAGCGTTGAAACTAATGATCGGTTTTTCGCAAAGTTTGCCAAACAATTAAAATCGATAGTATTTTTCGGTATTCATAACACTGTTAGCTATAAATGGCTGGAAATGTGTGTGAATTTGACATCAATTTTCATACATTTAAATGATTTATCGAAAACATGTCTCGTATTGAGTGCTGACAACGGTTTGCATTACAAACGACTCAAAAGTATTGAGTTTGAAATTAATGGTATGAATGTTATGCCCAATGATTTGACAGCATTTGAATTGTTTGCTCGCAATTACGGCCACAATATTAAGTCAATTGAATTCAGTTTGTGTTCAGTTTTTAATGATAATGTGGTTCAGAGACTATCGGATAGTTTGTCACAAATGCCGGCATTAATTGCATTGACAATGAATTTTGCATTATTACGGCTCAACGTATTGACACAAATTGGTCTCAAATGCCCACAACTCAAGAGTCTGTGCATTGAAATCAATGGGTTGTCTCTTCACGAAGAACTGATTCAAACAATTAGTGATAATTTTAAACAATTAAAGCGTTTGGAAATAAAGGGTTTATTAAGGGCTGGATTTCTACCGACGAGTGAATCATTTAAATCATTGAAACGATTAACACATTTGAAGCTATGGTTCGAACGAATCCATTACTTAAGTAAGGAATCGGAAATGAATATAACCGACACTTTCTTCGCTAATATTGACCACAATTTACCACATGAAGACCTAGACTCTGAGTTACCTCACTATTATTGCCTACTTCACAACTTACGTAACAGTTCTGACTGTGTTTAGGCAACGTAAGTTGAGTACCCCACTAATAATAGCACACAATTGGCTGTCAATAACTTCATCACTAATTATCCCAAAATTAATCTTCAATTGAAAGATACGGATCACATCTCTCACAGCCAGTGATTTGATTAAAATAATATTTTTTATAAATCTTGTGTTAAAATATTAAATATTTTTATTTTAACGAATTATTACTGAATTAATTTTACTTCAATTAATGACCATTTTTCCACAAAATTTTTTAAAACTAAAGGGGCGGTCAACTGATCTCCAGCATGCGGAAAACGCTATATCTCTTTAACTATAAGAGCTATCTTTATTCTGTAAAAAGCATTTAAGAGCCCCATATACGCAAGATCTATTGACTAACCTATCAAAATTTTTTGGTCACGTGGTATACAAAATATGGGACAATTCAGAATGGTCATATTATTGGCCAAACCATAAGAAATATAAAAATGGTCCCCATGGGTAATTTGTAAAGGGATAATTTCTGCACACAATAAAAAAAGAATCACTAAAATCTGATCAGTAGCATAGATTTTATAGCTCAACAAAGACGGGCTTTTCGTAATGTTAATCCTAATGTTAACCCTTTACAATTAATTAATAATGACTTTATTATAATTTATACATAATATTTGTGCTTTAAATTGTATTTCACACACATTTACCACACATTTATCCTAATTATAAACATTTATTTCATGATAAAAGAAAAATTTCGCATTTTATTTCTTATTGTATTTTATTTTCATATTTCTTATGAATCTAATTGTTTGACATTAAGTATTACCAAACAATTTAAACAAAAATTTATTACCACTCGACAAATACTTATACTTATTATTGTGTTATATATAACTAATTCTGTATTTAATTATTATAATTAATAAATGCAATCAATTATTTAATTCATTAAACTACTTATGATTGAAATTCTGTATGATAAGAATATTTGTGTTGTCGACGAATTAAATGTTTAAAAAATGCTATCATAATACCATTAATTTGCACAATTATTTGGCACAACATATAATATCCATATTTATTTTAATAATAAATACAAAAAATAAAATATATATAATTAAGGTGAATGTAATCTAAAAAAAATGTTTCAGTTATTTATATTGTTAAAACATAACTGATTTTGCGGGCATTTAATTTGTTATCATTCAAACATTTTCGACCACAATTCCTTTATAAGGAATGCGGTTTATAGAATCGCGACCCTGTCCCTATGTCAACATATTCTAAGTTTTTTAATTATTAAATTTAATGTCATATTTTATTATTTGAAATTTGCGACGAGATGAATATTTTGTTTATTAAATACATAGAAATATTAAAAACCACAAAATTTATTAAAAACATTGTTTTAAATAGTTTTAAATGTTATTATCAAAGGCGACAAACCATGTCTTCGTCGTCGACTTGTGTGGTATTAAATCTCTTAAGATGTGTCTCTTTAGCCATATTTAGTAAATGATTGAACATATGTTCGCCAGTCTTGCGGCACATGTCATACAACTTTCCCTTTTGTTGCAATAAAACAAACGGTTCGCCAAACTCTATGATCTCTCCCGCGTCCAAAACCTGATCACGTGATATACAAATCATTTCATAATTAGTTACGAATTATAACTTATAATTAATTTAAATCTGATTGAAATACAGACCAAAACGCGATCGCAATCCATAATAGTGTTGAGTCTGTGAGCGATCGTAAGGACAGTACAGTCACTGAATTTGTGACGAATTGTGGTCTGAATTAAGGCATCGGTTTGATGGTCA